TGTGAGGTCCACCTTTGCCCCCATACTGCAATCATATAGGGCAGGGGGGCTTCTAGGTTTCATTATTCAGGGTATGTGTCATTTTTTTCTGACTATGCAGAATTAGTTAGCCATGGGGTAAGGATAAGTGGCAAATCAGGATGTAAAATGATACTTTTAACTGAATCGCAAACCATGGGTTGTGTTCAAGCTTATTAAAAATCAGGAATTCATCAAGCAAATCATGGTTTAACTTAAGTGGCACGTAACAGGCACCATGAATTGGTGAGGCTACACCAAAGCAGGTGAGTGCACTGCTTTGCCTCTGCTTTCATCAGCGAACCTTGAACATCGCATTCCAGTACATGGCCTGTTGATGAAAGTCAGAGCAAAGCAGCACCTGGGAGTGTGTGACAGGCAGCATGCTCACTCTTTCCAGCACAACTTTGCCAATTTAGCATTCTGCACAAACCAGGTCATTATGCACAACTAGCTCACCTCCACAGCATTCTGCCTTCAGGAAGACCTGTAGATCTCACGGGAAGGTCTGTATGCACTCTTTGTGAGATAGAGCTCAGCTTGGCCTAGCTGTAATTTCACTGACCATTTAGCATATTAACCAGAGTTAAAGGAGCAAATCATGGTTCAGTTTTATTATATCTACAGGTAGTCTAAATCTCCCCCTAGCTGGTTTTTGCCCTCTCTTCCTATCTTCTTTCACAATCTCTTTAAAAAAAATGAACAGGGCAAACTTCATAGAGCCCACTTGTTGTTTTTCACCTAATTCATTACCTACATATTACTTTGTCTAAAGAAAAAGTCTGAACTAAATGTAGCAAAGAAAGGATAGGAGTCTGTCCCTGAGTATAGCATAAAAGTGGGCGAAGCCCAGGACTTACTGATGATAATGCGGAAGCTCTGGTTGGCTTTAATGGACCCGAGCAGCAGTGATGGCATGCAATGTTCTTTTCCGATAACTAGAGAAGTAACAGTGACTTTAAGCCCCCTATTTTTAAGTCAAGCAAAGGTAGAATCAGTCGACTTCCTAGCCTCTGGCATTTCTACTTTTCACATTCTGTTTTCAAGGGTTACTTTTAGTATTCTTGTACACAGCCAGCCTTGCTTCAGCACAATTCCACGAGAAGCCATAAAATGCTAGCGGAATTGGTTCCTTTAACGTTTTTCTTGAATCTTCTTCCTTTATGATCTCCTAAAAACTAAGGACCCAATTCAGTAAAGAAACTCTCAGACTTGCATGGTTTAATGACTATTTAGGAGACTGTCTAGCTTCCTAAAATAAATTCAGTTTTTTTTTCTTCCCTCTCTCAAGTATCTCTACTGTCTTTGCCAGGAAACAATGTAAATTTTTAGGACTACGATTCCATAGTTCCACACATAAAGGAAAGAATTTAGCCTTCACATCCAATCTTATGCTCAGTGTTGTATCTCCTTACTGAAATGGCTATCCTGAAAATAAATCCCCTTAGTTTCACTCTAAAATAGCTCTACTGTGTGTGTTTTAACTTTTTAAACATTTGCTGAGACGTTGGGACATTCCTTGTCTCCTCCTTAACTTTCCTCTAATATCCATGTGTGCTTGGAGGGAGGGCCCCTTCTTCCCCCACAAGGCTCTTGGAGAGCTGCCTTACACCTTATAAAGAGGTTTAATTATTTATCTTAAAAAAAAAAAATAACCTCCATCTTTCAACCCAGGTGGACCCTCCAAAATGGGTTAAACTCATTTAGAAACAAAACCACAACACACACAAATAATAACAAGTAGAAACCACTAATATTAAAAATGCTAAAAGTAATTAGGACAAACCTTCCTTCCAGATGGGCAGATTGTATGTGTGGGGGTGGGGGCAGCCACTAAGTATCTTCTTCCAGCTTCTGCTTGTTGAGGTCTCCTTGGGGTGTGCTGGAATGCTGAGTTCTCCCACATGCTTCCCCACCCAGGTTGCCTGGCTCTGCTCTGGGAAAGGAAGAGGAGTCAGCACCCTGCAGCTAAGGGTAGTAATGCCACAAGTGTTGTGTGTCCCCCTCCAACAATGGCTTTATAGTGCTTCCAGAGTCCACGCCCTCTCCCAGCACACTTGGGGCAGTTTCAAAGCCTTGGCCATAGAGTTGTCCAAATCCAGAATGCAAAAACACAACTCACTCTAGAAGATTCCCATTCTGTTTCAAATGACACCTGGTATGGTTCTTCAGGACTCTGGTGGTCTGGAATAAGAGGTGCTGCTTAAAGCAAGGAGCTGTAAACATCCATCCTGTTCTCCCTTCTTCTCCCTTCCCCGTACCTACTGATGAGAATGGTGAGCAATCGTCCCGTTCGTGGCAGTTTTTGTAGCTGTCTTAGAGACTGCCCAAATGTGACCCCCCTTCTCACCAACATTAGAGAGAGTAGTTTGCAGGAGCAGTGGGTACCCAGCTTCTTCACCTGCACCAATTACACTACTTTAGTTTGCTCCAAGCTTTGTGGAAATGCTCTCCTCAAACTCCCTATTTTTGTTTTCAAAACAAGATCTGGATCTAGTATTTAAAAAGAACATTTTGCATATACTGCTTTCTGCCAATAAAGATTAAACATCTGGATAACTGCTCTAAATGTTTTTGTTTTCCCCTGTGAAAATACTGAATCAGGTTCACATTTATACACACATGATAAGCTAGTATTAGCATTTGAGTCTAGACTGAATGTCAACTTGACCTGCCCTTGTTATGAGCTATTGAACTCTGACAGTTCCTAGTATCTTCAGCAGGAGACTCAAGTTAGAAAGCTGCAAGATCCCTTATCTTGGATTTGTTACAGACTAATACTCCAAACGTTATAATAAATTCTTAGCAAAACATTGCATGCCTTCTTTCAGAAATAAATCTTGAGATCCCATTCACGGTCTTTCTGAGAAAGGAAAAAATTAATTGCTGTTTGAAGCATTACCTTTTCCACTGTGTTTCCCTTACCTGGTCTGTTGTGTTCTGACAATCATTCTGAAACTCTGTGGTGAAGCATCCTGCAAGGCTGGCCCCGGACATTTGGAGGATTGAGGTGGAGGATTAGCTAGCTGAGCATACGCAAACAGAAGCTAGCCAGAGTGGCAATTGAATTGACATCAGCACAGGCAGTGGGACAGCATCCCCTGGGTCTAAGTGCAGAGTAGGCCACCTGTCCTGCGACACCTCTCCGCCACTTGCTCTCTGACCTGCCTGGCACTTGCTCACTTGCCTGCTCAAAGAAACGATGCGTCACATAAGCAGAGCAGCACATGCACAGATAGGGTGCCTGCTGGGGTGAGGGGCTGGCTGGCTGCTTCTCCGGCTGTTTACGTGGCCTGGACCTTTCCCAGGAACACTGTCTATGATGTGTTGGGAGGAGAAGGCAGTTAGACATGCAGAGAGTCCAGGCCAGTAACTAGCAAGTATGGCTGCCAGTGACCCAGGAGAAGAGGCACAGCCAAGAGACAGGGTTCTCAGGAGGAGGAGCTGCAGAGGGACTCAAGGGGTGGTGGGGGGACACTGGTTGCCCCAGTCCAGTGCAACCATCACCTGTAGCATCCATCCCACTCTGCCTAAGGGTAGGGCTGAGCCCCGAATACCCATCCCTAGAGGTGGCTGTCTGCTGCCTTTTGCACAGTTTCCCACACAGGCCTTGCCTCCTGCTTGGGTCAGCCAAATAATTCTTCTGTGTCTTTTCTTCAGATGTGATTTGTGTATTCAGTTACTTCTGATGCAAAGATATGGTGCAAGTCTCCAGCTCAGAAAAGCCTGCATGCTGGAGGCTGCATAAGATAGCTGCTTTGTGTGTCATTAAATCCATTCAGGAGGCATACCTGGAACCAAGGACCTCTGCAGAGAATGGGCTGTGCACTTACAGTACATGTAAACCATTTTAGGCGCAAGTTTGTCTCAAATTTTAGGTCAGAAAGGAAGAGTGCCTTACTGCCAGAAAGCTGGAACGCACTGCTTTACAACCATATTTACAGTCTACACAAATATTAGTGTTTTCCCAGTTGGCTTCTCCCAAAGAATCCCTAAGAAGTGGAGCCTGCTAAGAATTCTTTGTTGGAGGTCTCACATTTCCATGGGTCATGGAGAAGGACTTTTGCACTAATTTAAACCTGTGGTAAAAGTATGTCTTGTTTGTCTTTAAAGTTCAGTTGTTGTTTATCAACACTGCTCATAGCACAGATGCACTGCAGCTCTGCAGATTCCTGCAGATAGTGACCGCCGTAGTGCCATGCGCCTTACATACTTCTCCATGTCTCAGCTAATGGAACACAATCGCAGAAGTGGCTGGTGCCCGGTTGCCCACTGAGGCTGACAAGGCACAGTCAAGGAGACAGGAGGAGATGTTTGAATCCCCAGCCAGTAGCCCGTACTGGGGAAGAAAGGAAAAGCTGAGGCACACAACCTTTGAGATCATGAATAGAGAGCAAGGGAACCTTCACAAAACCATAGAGAAGCACTGCTTTGGACTGCATTATCCTGTTCCAGCAACAACTCCCATTGCATAGAGATTCTAGTGACTCTGAGATCTCATTAAGGAACTTGAGGGTATTGTGGGGAAATGTCCTGATCCAAGATCCCCTTCATGTGTTTGTGAGAGGACTGTAACACAACGCTTATCAATGCATCAGAACTTCATTTGGGAATGCGTATTGCTCAGAATTGCAGATCCTGTGATGAACTGCCCTATAGTTGTTTCAACAGTATCCTTTGTTACTGTCTAGAAAAAAGTGTCATTGTAAGATTTACCAAGACTACAAGGGAATTTTCATTATATGTGTTGCAGTGCTGCAATTATATCTTTAAAATAGCATTCTACTTTCATTGACATGTGTAAATACGAGGGGCCCATTGTGCAGGGGTAACTTCCTTCATGCTGAGATATCCAGCCTGACCACATTGTAATGTGGGTTTAGAATTAAGGCATTCTATTCCCCATTGGGTTCTATTATGCCAAATGTTGGCCGATGTGATTGTTTCGGGAGGTAATGACTTGGCCTGGACTTTCATTTCAGCCCAGTTCAATGGGGGAGAAATGAGGCAATCGTCACCGTCGCCTTCTTCAAGTGACCGTCGTCGGCAGCTCCGAGCGCCAGGGGGCGGTTTCAAACCAATCAAGCATGGTAGCCCTGAATTCTGTGGAATCCTAGGGGAGCGAGTGGACCCAACTATCCCGCTGGAGAAGCAAATGTAAGTGAAGCTGAAACTGTCCAGTAGGGGTGACTGAGGAAAGAAGAAAGCAGAAACCTTCATCCTCAGAAGAAATTGCTTTGCAGAAGTTAATAGGGTGCCAAGGAAGTCAGAGGCACTTAGGTCCACATTGACCATTTCCAACACACTTCTCCCATGGGTATTGCTTACAAAGAAGATCTGTTTCTGATCGTATTCTCTTTTCAGTAGATCTACGCAAGGCCCTTTTCATATATCAGGCAGAGGCAAACCCAGGTTTCCTACCATTTCACACAGCAAGGAGCTGCAGCCAGTTCGACTTCCCTAAAGCAGTGTGGATGGGGGAAGGTTGTGTGTGTGTGTTTCCAAATGTCTTTGTCACATTTGGATGTTACATTTTAAGGGCATGTGTTAAGCCTTTCAGGGCACAATCCTGTGGCTATTAGACAGAGGCTAGGTGTGCATAGCAAATTTTGAAGCCTCATCTCCAGCCTCAGAAATGCACTGCACATTTGGAGGCAGAACTGTATACTGGGAGATCCCTCCCTGTACCCTCGCAGTTGGCGTGGAAAAACTATGCCAGCTGCAACTCTGAAGACACGGAAAGGAAAGGAGTAAGGCCCTGCTGGCACATGATGTATCCCAGCAGTGTTCCAGTCTGTCCTCCTTGCCCGCTAAGTCGTTTGTGGGGTGGGGGAAGCACAGAGGCAGCCTTTGCTTCCAAGCTCCTCCTGTTCTCAATAGGATGGCCGTAATCCTCGGATTTCATAGAGTTGCAGGCATATCACACTGGATATGCTATAAGCAGCATAGCTAAAGTGTATGAAATGCCCTTGGAATACCTTGTAATTGGAACATCAAAAAGTTTTTTTGAGCAACTGGACTGTCCCTTAGGATACATGAGCGCAACTGAGTGTCAGTCAGTCATCCCTCAAGGTACCTCCTTTTAGTAATCTCTCTCTTGTGAGATTTGTGAGTATCACTTCCTATTTTGAAACAGGCATCCTTTGCATTTTCCATATTATTTCACCAAAAGACAACTTTTTAAATAATTTAGTAAGTATATGCTGCAGTACATACTATAATCACATTTAACAAGACAATTAATTTTGAAGACCATAGCAAAGTGGTCAAGGAATACTGACAAAAGGGCCATTTCTAGGCAAATTGTACTGTCATACTGTCATGTATTTTTTAGCAAACTAATACTCAGAGAAGGGAGAAAATCCTAACTGCATATTCATTCTGCTGCCCTTTCCGTGTTCATCAAGAAGAATTTGGGAATATGGCGAAAAGTGCACTGAAAACCTATTGTTCATGTGTCGGCAAAAAAGGGCAAGTCAGGGCTGAGAATGATTAGGAAAGAGACTGAAATTTAAAAGGCCAGTAATGCTTTTATGTCTACCTACAAAGCAGCCACTTTTGGAATATTATGTACAGTTCTAATTGTTCCATCTCAAAAAATACATTGTAAAGCTGAGAAGTTTAGCAAAGAACAAGCACACCATGCCAAGGGCTGCAGCTCTTTCTCCTGTGTTTGAGGCTTTTCATTTCAAGAAAAAGAAAAAGAAAGCTAAGCAAAAGGACACATGGAGGCTTATAAAGTTATAAAAGGCATGAAGAAAATGTATAGAGATTTTACCTCCCTCTTGTAAAGTTACTAGAATACAGAGGCATCCAGTGAACTTGACTGGCAGGACGCTGGGGATTGGAAGTCAGAAGCGTGTCTTCATGGAATCTATAATTCAGTTATGGAATTCACTGCCATAAGGTATCACGGTGGTCACTGTCTCAGATGGCTTTTTAAAGGGATGAGAGCCAGCTATAAAGAACAAGGCTATCGGAAATGATGACCTGTGAGAGCTAAATACAATTCCTATCGTGCGAGAGAGACGACCCCTGAACAACAGGCACTGAGCAACGAACAACAAGGGATGGCCATTAACTTTGTGCTTGCATGCAGTGCATGTGGCAGATGTCTAGCTCTCTCTTGCTGAAATCTGTGAGGCTCCAAAGCACAACATTTGCTGGAACATGTCCTCTATTTACTTACATGTTTTTACACTGTGCTTAATGCATTAAAGCTAGACATCTTGCTGGATGTTTTGTAAATCCAAGGCTTGTTTATCTTAAGTCTTAATTACTTTGTGGGGTTTGGTTTCTTTTGTAGATGGTATCATGGAGCAATCAGTCGGACAGATGCAGAAAACCTCTTGCGGTTATGTAAAGAATGTAGCTATCTAGTGAGGAATAGTCAAACCAGCAAGCATGACTATTCACTTTCATTAAAGTAAGTATCTTTCCTATATTATAAGCATGACTTGTGAAGTAGATTTCTTGGTGCAACAACAGCAAACAAACAAAAATCATTTCTTTATGTTGACACTAGAAAAACCTCTCCATACGCCACAGGAATTTTAGAATTTCAAACTTCAGACTATATTGCTTTGCATAACAGTTCCTAGATTTGGTTGTAATGCTCCAGGGACATGCACATATTTTTTAGTGTTTGTCTTGCCCCCTGTTAACAAAATGTACTTTATCTTTTCTAGCTGCTGATTAAATTGTTTCTGCTCTTCTGTCTTTTTTTCAGCTTTTAATAAATGCATTGTCTTGCTAGACCCCCCCACTTCTCGCCCATCTTCACATACAGAACACCTGTTCTATATTGACCCAGCACAAAGAGAGGGCATTATAGATATTGCCATGAATAGAAATCTTACATAGGTCTTCCATGACATGTAAACTATCATATAAAATTTCATCCAGTAAAAGGGGGGCAGAGTAAATTTATATAAATGATTGTAGTATAAAGAGGATCTGCTGTAATTAAATGGAAACATATTATGAAGACTGTGTGGGACAAATCCATTTAGGCTGATGGTAACTCTAATTGTACTGATTGGAACTTATTTCAAGTATACATGAGGAGTACACAAAATATATCAATACAAAGTTTATGTGTCTGAAGTCAACAGTATGGACCAGTTTGCACATCACAGTGGGAATTGTAGGTTATTTAACCCATGATTTTGTGGTGATTTGCACCACCTGCAAGGTCCATCTTCTTTATGTAAAGAGCCTCCAGCTGGCTTAAAGGGTTGCAAGTGTGGGGTGTAAATTAGGGTTGATGGAGTCTTTAATTTCTAAAGGATCTATTAGTGCACATTTGGATCATGCTCAACACCTATACTTGAACCAATTTAGAGAAAGTAGAAGTAGCTTTCAGGTAGCATGCATCACTCTGAATTTGCTACCAGGAGTGTGAAGCACATCTCAGTGTACATCTTCTGTTCAGAACAGCTGTAAAAATTCATTAATGCATTACATCGTTGATTCTAGAAAATGTAAAATCCCAAACTTCTTGAGCTTCACTGATCTAATGCAGTGAATTCTGGAAATTCCTGATCTAGGCCAGGTCAGTAACTAGTTTCACTCTGTTGCTAGTCATGGAATTAGTAATTTGTGTTGAAGATTTGTGAGATAGTCACACTATATAATGGGAGGTATTATGACTAGAAGATATTCAACTACTATATGATACCACTGAGATATGAAAGTTGCTGTGATACAAGTATATGTGAAAGTAAAACGCATTCATATTTAGAAACAAGAAGCTATCATTTTAAAAAGCTGAAACCATCTCCTCACTATCAGCATTCTCTATTAAAACTCTCACCAATAATAGTGAAAAAAACTAAGGAACTACATTATGAGTGCATTCAGGCAAGAAGGTTCAGTTCATCATGGGTTATTTAACGAACGGTGGCCAGTAATGCCTACAGACACGAAATTGCACATGCAGTCCCCTCTCAGGGTTTGTCATGTTATGCAAACCTGGTGAGCAGGTTATGCAAGGGTTGTTTTACCCATGATCATGATAACTGCATATTCAGAGTGGCAGTTGCAAATACCCCACACGCAGCTGCAGTACTCGTAATTCTGAATTCAGACACAAAGCTTTAAAACCACACTCTAGTGTTGCCTTTAGTCTGTAAACAACCATGGGAAGTTTACTTATACTACATCTCAGTCTATCTTTGGTTAGTGTTGATCCTAAACTTTAGTTAGTGTTGAAGCAAGGAGCTTTTATGGGTGTGTCAAGGAAAAACTCAAGATACTATTTACTGAGGTTTCTTTTTGCTGGCCAAAAGCGGCTAATTGTTTTCTTTGTGACCATAGGGGAGCTAATGCAGACTCAGGTAAAGCTCAAGGGAACTGATAGACATATGTGTTAACAGTTAAAAGTTTGTGATCATCCAGGAAAACCCAGTTTGAGAATTGCCATAACTAGGGTCATGACAGTCTTCCTCACAATATGATTCTCTTCTGACTGTTGCACTTCTTGCAATCAACCAGTACTCAGAAAGCAAGCCAAGCCAAGGGGAAGTCCACGAATGCCCATGGAAGTATGGTTGCACAACCAGCAACCTTCTTTTGCAGCACATGCAGCACATGCCAAGGCTGCAGGTAAGGTTCATGCAAGAAGGAGACCGTTTGCACAGGCTTACCTCTTGGTGGGTATCCATATGAACAGTTAGTGCGCTCACTCAGAAGTCAGATTCATGGCCGCAAGAAAGTGGGTTGGAGTCTGGAGAACCAAGCTTGGAGAATCCAATGGATTGCCACCCCCAAAATGCATTCCTTTACCTGGATTGGCATTCCAGGTAAAAGGATCCCCAGCAGCATGGCCAGTGGTTGGGCTTGCTGGGGATGATGAGAGTTGCATTTCAATACCTATGGAGGACACCAGGTTGGGCAAGCCTGTACTAGACAATACCAGGCCAGATAACAGAATGTTCTGACTCCTGTGTCCATGAAAAGGTCAAAGAACCCCATTTGGATTTAACTTCTGTTGAAACCTAATTGAACGTAAGAGTTTGGTTTCATCAGTGCTGGCTTCAGGCTTTGAATGTAAGAGCAGAAAGAAGAATAACCATGCTGCATCCTACCAGAGATCCATCTAGTCCAGCTCTCTGTCCGCAAAGTGGCCAACCCACGCCCCATGAGAAACCCACAGGCCAGGCGTAAGTGTAACAGCAACCTCCTACCCACGTTCCCAGCAACCGATGCACAGAGGCACCCTGCCTCTGTTAATGGACAGAGTAAATATCCTCTTAGGACTTCTAGCCATTCATAGCCTTCTTCTGCATGAACTTGTCCAGTCTCCTTTGGAGATTCTTTGGTGTTACTCTCTTCTGCCCCCACCCTTTGCTGTTTTCCTTCGGTGTGGACCCATGTGCTCCTGGCTGCTGTCACTGCTACTCATGGGCTTATTCCCACCTTCTGGGCCTCACAGCCGTGCCCTGGGAGAGCAAAACTCCAGCTTCTCGGTCCTGTCACTGTGTGCACGAAGAGATGGAGACAGGCAGTGGCAGCACGGAGGAGAAGGGGGCCAGGGGGTCCTGAGCTCGGCCCAGGGCCTCCCGTTGGGTGCGGGGGCCTGAGTGGGCTCCCAGCAGTGCCAGTCTTTGACACTAGCCCTGGGCTTTGTCGTGGTGGGTTGGAAGTTGGAAGTGGTGGATATGCAAGCCTGGGAATACCAGGACCTTCTGGAAGGGGCAAGCCAGAGAAATTTGAAGAGATTTGCTGTGATTGTTTAGAGTTATTTCTGGGCTAACCAAAATGAGGAAAGGGCTCATGGGGAACTATGAAATGGCTGGGGGAAGTGTGTGTGCGTGAGCGCGCGCATGCTTTGCCAAGCCTTCATTAATGCCATGTTTCCTCATTAGCCCTTTCCTCATGTAGGCTAATCTCCAGATATCTCTGAAGGACTTCAAGTTCAGGGCTAAGGCAACCTCTTCTAATTAAAAGTTGCTGGTCTTTTCCCATCTTTTCTTCCTTCTTTCACATTCACCCTTTGTCAGAGTCATCTAGAGGAATTTTGGTGGGCTGGTGATAGACAAAGATCTGAAAACTGGGAACTGGGAGAGTGGTAGTTTTCCCAGATCAGGAGATGACATTGGTGGCAGTCCCCAGTACCCCAGGGAAGTTGGATGATGAACTAAGACACCAATTAAAGAACTATTTACCCCCTCAGGCTCTGATCAGCTGATTTTAATTGTTAGTTCTACAATTTAAAATGTTTAATGGAGAATTTTATCTTTTACTTTCAGTCAGCTAAGAGTCTGTTTTTGCCTGTCTTTAAATACATTTTTCTTTTTAAATCCTTAATTCTCCATCTGTGCAATGGAATGTTAGGGAATTGCCTGACAAAATGGTTGTGCTTGTAAGATGGCTGTAACCACAACAGAGTGGTTGTAAGGAGTTGAATCCTGTAAAAACTAACAATCTACAAATATACCTGCTCTGTCCCAAATATATCAAGGCCAAATTAAACTTTTCCTCTGGGTTCAGTAACTGGAAGCCAGGGGACCAAATCTGCCTCGGAGAGGGATGCCTTCTGCCTTCCCCCCACACACTCCCCATGCCAGTGCTTGATGCCTCCTTTTTCAAGAAAGCAAGCTGTGAGGGTCTGGCAGGAGACCCAGAGTGCCAAGCTGACCTGCACCCCTAAGGCCTTGCAGAGGGCTGTGGGGCAGTTGGCTAGCCTGACTCCCACAGGCTGATTAGCCTGGCCACTGTGACTGCCCCCCCACCCCAGGTTGCCATCTGCATGCAGCACTGGGGCTTCCCTGGTTAGAATGGCCCAGTTGCAGCAGCTTGCTTATTTAATGGCTGTGCATTCACAGATTTTCAGTATTTATCTTCCTGAGCCGTCTGCTTCCGTCATTCTTTTGGCTGGAGAGTGAAACAACGTGCAATATATTTATTTTGAGTTTATCCTTTTTCTTCCTTTGTGATGGAATTTCCGCTTTATTTGGCAGCAGCCCAGCGTCGACGTCTGGTGTCCCTGATGCTGCTCATGCAACTCTGTGTAATTTTAATCTCATTCTCTCTCACAGACACACACACCATTTGCATTTCTCCCCACTTGGGCAAAGGAGGATTTTTTTTTTCTCCCAGCCCCGTGGAAGTTGATGTGTATAGCTTCTGGTGATGGTGATCTCTAGACAGCAAGGAATTTATTTGCATTACTGAGTTAATATATGTTGGTTGCTCATGCATAATAGCCTTGCCTAAGTGTTAAAATGGTTTGTATGAATTGAAGTGTATTGAAAAACACTGAGCGATTTGTCCAGGCCCATGGAAGCCACCAACCCAAACAGATCTGCAAAGTACTTAACAACCTTCCTCTTTAGCAGTTCTAGGCAAGTGACAAAGCCCAAAGACACTCAGAACCTTTGTGAGCTAACATATATAGGCTGGTGGACTCCTGCTGTCTGCATG